GGGGGGGGGGGGGAATCTTTCAACTTCTTACTTGCCTAAAATCTTGCTATCTGTGGTGGTTAAATTTACAGAAACAAGAGTATACACCTTTCTATTTCGATACTGTGTCTCAAACCCATTAAAAAAATGTTAAAAATATTTCAGTAACATCACCAAAAAAACTACCAAACAAAACTGACTTGGAATGATGACATTCAGAGATTTTGAGTTACTACTCAAACAGAACTGGTTATTTCAATGCTACTTGTTGAAGGAACCATAGTTAAGATCTAAAAAGGTAAATTTTCCTTTTTCCTCAATACTTGGTATTGTTCCAACTAGCAGTAGCTTTTAAACTTACTCAAACCCTTCAAAAGTCTTATTTCATTACGATAGGCCGTAAGGAGAGTCTTGATAGTTTTAAAAAAGTAAGTTTCCCTTGCCTCCAAAATCATAAAAATATTTAGATACCATCTTGTATTTTTACAATAGAAAAATGAACTTCATCAGAGGTAATGGCATTTCAGGAGAATTACAGAATAGAAGTCAAGAATTTTTCTTCTTGTTAAAACCAATCAAACCAACAACCAGCACCAACAACCAAACAGCAAAACCAAAATAAAAAGATGCTTTGCTTAATGCCTGGCCTGCTAGCTGGGAAGTTATGGGTACTCTGTTAAACACAGAATATGAGGGATGGGCCATTTTGGTATCTCGGAATCAGAAAATCCACATTTCTAAGGTACATTTACAGTGCTAATATGAACATAACAGTTGTACTGAGTCAAATCAAAGACCTAATGGCTTGTTTCTGACTGTGGGCAGTAGGGGAAAGATTACAAAAAAGGACCTGCACTTTCCTCAATATACCCTTTCCATTAAGCCATGGCTTTGGAAAGCAGCCAGAAAAATACATGTATCATTTTGCTGAACAGCCTTTGACAATCTTTAATGTTTAATGAAGTGATCCTGAACCCAAGATCTGAAATTTACAAGTCAATCTAAAAAAAAAAAAAAACCAAACAAAAAACCAAACACCCACCCACACTCAAAAACAGCTTTAAAGTTTTTTTTTTAAATCATTAACTTTTTAATATTGCATCTGTTCCCCAAAAAGAAATTAAAAAGTCATTAACTATTACAGCACTTGAATTACAATTAAAAATAAATTTACAAAACTAAATAACACCAAAAAAATTTCAGAAAGGCAAAGCTAGAAGACGCTAACAGGAAATGGTCAACAGCAATTCCTAACATTTTACAGAGTAGTAATGACCTTGCAATAAGAAATAATATGTAGCAATTAGAATTAGCCCACTGATGAGCTACTGATGATTTAATGTTCCAGGGCTGCAAGTTAAAAAGAAATGGAACAAAAGATGTTCTATACCAACTTTTTTTTATCCACACCATTTCAGAGGTTATTACAAAATAAATGTTACAAAATTCCACATTATAATTCAGACTTATGCATTTTGAAAGCTATATCATTCATATAGGAGCTGTGCTGACAGTGGAGCTCTGTAGTTCAAGGGTGTTCCAGAATTCCATAAGCTTCAAGAACAAGATTTGATTGGCACATTTACACAAGAAGTTCTTGATTAGCAAATAAATGAAGCATCAAAGTGAAGAAAATCTGATTACATATACACACTGGAGGAAGAGAAACCCCATGCACAAATCCTAAAGGAGATGCCAACAATGAGGTTTGAATAATCTGACAAAAACACAAAACCTTTTACAGCACTTACCAGCAAAGCATTTGGAACAGAGATTCATAGTCTTGCTGGACCTGGGGCAAAAATAAAAAAAAAAAAAATAGAGCTAAAAAATTCATTATCATTCTAATCAATACAGGGAAGTTTTTGGGGGGACGAAGCAAAGGTACAGAGAAGGTAAGAACTTAAATAGCTAGGAATCAAAGATAAGTGGCTAGAAGTGGCTGAACTAGGAACAGGGACGGGGGAAGAGACTTCACATGGCAATCTCTTCCCAATTTACAGAATTTCCAAAACATGACTTCCACACATTTACCTCGTATATGAAAATAAGCTTCCTTTACCATTCAAGGTATGTCACATGCTCATCATTTGGATCTTTTTATTGCAATATGATAATAATTAATAGATAGGAAGAGCCAATACATTCCACTTGAATATTAGACTCCCCTTGGCAACAACTCTGCAGTCCTGACAAATCCTGAACACAGTACAGCAATAGAGAGATTACAGTATTGCACTTATAAGGACACAGACAGATGCGCTCTTGGAAGTCTAGCCCGAATGGCTTAAGAAGTTATTACCTCAAGCTGTTCATTACTACCCTCAGCTGCATCCAGCAGTTATTTAAAATAATCTGGCTGACTTTGCACTGACATGGACTAGGATAGTTCATATGATCCATTAGTGTGGCTCAAATTTGAGGGCAGCAACATTCAGCTGAGAGAAAAACAGCTGGAGAACAACAGCAATATCTTAAGCCTCCTAGATGTCTCCAAAGTGTTTGTGCAATTATGTATGCCACAAGTGTTCACCCTCATAAAGAAAGTCAGTAGGCTCACAAAGAAAAAATTTAAAAAGCTACAGACCTCTCTAGGGGTACCATGGAACTACCCAAAGCAATATACTATGGGAGAACAAGTTTCTCCCAGTCTACGAAGAGTTCTCTTCTAACATCACAACATCTCCTTTACAAAGTGAGCTGAAGAATATTCTCAAAAACTCTTATAATGTTGGTATGTCCTTAGTTAAGAACAGCCCGGTTTCTGTGCACACTGCCCAGTATACGATTTGTTCGGCGTTCCTGAATCAGCTCTGTTATTATGTATAAGCATTAACACTGTCCTGAGCAGGTCTGAAAGTACATATTGACAGGCAAAGTTGCACCAAAACTGTCCATGCCCACAAGATCTTTTTGCCTCCTCAGGGCAGCCCGTAGTTGAAACATATCATTTAGCATCTTTATCTTTAGAAGTATGCATACACAAAACCAATTGAAACTACCAAAACATTTGTTTTCTATTTCCAGTCAAACATGGATGGAATTTTGAGATGAGATCTGCATCTTACAACATACAAATTATAAAAATGAAAACAGCTTATTATCTGGAGATGAAAATTATGACAATTTTTTCAAAGCAATTATATCACAAATGAACACACCTATCAGAATTATAGAATTTCCCCCACCACCACACCCCGAGTTTGCAAATGGATATTTTGAATGACTTTCCAGTAACAACATAAATCCAAACTTGGTCAATCATATCCTAGTATTAGTCACATCAAAACATTACAGATGCTTTTCAATTCATGCACATTTGAAAGCTGGTTTACATCAGGCTCAAGAATTCTAGAACACAGTTCACTGCAGATATGAGACATAAGCATTTGCCAGCTATAGCAAGAGCCACAGACACATGAAAGCTAGTTTTAAATGCAAACAGTATGTGCACAGGCGAAAAGTTAATTCCCAGGAAAATAAAAGCAGAACAGCATTTGTAGCCACACAAATACATCATCAAATTGGTATATACCCAAAGATTCAATATCTATGTTGACAGTCTGCACATATTATCTACCTTCAAAAGAACTGCAATTAAAAACAGCATGGTGAGTCAACACCTACAGCATTAGTGTGCTGCAGTTCAGTACTCACTGCTTATGGGTTAGACCTTCTGGAGCAGCTCAATATGCCAGGCAGGAGCTTCTCTGCAAAGCCATTAAACCCCAGGGGCAGCAAAGAAAAAGAAAGGCAGAGTTCAGATGGTTCATATTGATGACATTGGAACGGGCAATGACAAATGTTTTCAGTGGTATAATCAACTATCTCAGCTGTTAAATATCAATCCAAAGCCTCATATAACATTTACTTATCAGCACACCAACAACAGAGAGCACACACACACACACAACATACAGTTATCTGAAAAAATCTGCTATTTACTCATAACACAAAACCCCACAGGTTTTCTGAAAGGACAGTGCTACTGGACAAGTGACTTTGTGAGCTAAATAACTTCAGTTCATTGTTACAGTTTCAAGGATCACTTTCTCTCTGATCCTTTTATATGCTTTTCAAGACATCCAAGTCAGTGAGGCTGCTATGCAAGATTAGTCTAAACTTTTGAGTGAGTTTTTTCTGTCTTGGTTTCTTTTACACAGTCACTTAGATCACTGCAGATCCATCAACATCACACGGGAACTAAGAAAAAAGCATTTTTTATTAGAGACAGAGTATAAGTGATCAACAACCAGTTCCTTTTTGAAACTGTAGTATTTAATTAAAACAAAAGTTTCACAAAGAAAATGTATTAAGCAGTTTACATACATCAAACTTACTAGGTATTATCTGAGAGCCATATCAATGTCTGTCAAGTAAAATATATGTTTGACAGCTCTGTTACACTCCAAATCCCTCCTCTCGTTGCTAGGATTTCCTCTTTACAGCAGGCAAGGGCTCTGTCACCATACTTAAGATTGAGCAAACCTCCATATTGCTGTTTCTCTGTGAAGTAAATCTTGTTAACCACGTCACTGGTTTACATTAATTATTTACTAGTAACTCCAGTGTTCACCAGAAGCTCATACTGCCAGGCAGGAACACCAAAATATAAAATATCTTTCTCCTGATAGCCTTTTCAAATATATAATTCATCTGTAATATCTGTTATTTCTAGAGGTAACTATTTGAAACACTTAAAGCTCTAAAATATCAAACAGTCCTGGTCATGATATAGCCCTCTGTATCTACTTCATCGAAAGAGACGCTCACAACAGCCAGCTCTACTTAGAGCAGATGACTTCTAGGGAAAGCAACCATTTCTGTTTTCCAGGAACACAGAGTAAAATCATGAGTGTAAAGGTGAATAAGGCACAGTGAAGCTAGAATTCAAAGTCAGTCCTGGCAATAAGAATGCACTGTTTAGACTGGAAGTCTGCTCCAACATATCTACACCCTTATGTCATGGTTAGGTTGGGGATATTCTACGTGCTTCTGAAACAGATATTAAATCACCACAGTTTTTAACCAGACATATTAAGGTAATTCCCAGATTTCCTCATAAAAGTCAGCTTCGTGCTTAACAGCACCTAATCCAGAATTACTACAGTATACATTTTATATGTACAATATCCCTAGAAAGCCAGTTTTATACTGATAATTTACAATCTCTGCTTGTACATAATTTAAACTGGTATTCAGAAAGACATTCATATTTATGGATAAATCAAGTCAAATAGAATGGTATTATCTCCAAGGCAGAATATAAAGTTAAACCCTATTTGAAGGTACTTCCATCTGTCAAAAAGAAGTCATTTAACTAAAGGGTGACATGAAATTATTATGTAGATTGGAAACCACAAGGTGAAGCAAGCTTGGAAGGTCAAGTGGCAGAGCATGTTAGAGGCAGAGGATACTTCAAGCCAGCTGTAAAACCCCAGAGGCTACAGAATGATTGCATGCAACAGTTCCACAGGGCTCAGTCTGAAACACGTAGGGATTAGAAGTGCTTCCACTTATGAAAGAAGAAAACACTCCCTTAATGACAAAGCCGTGAAGATAGTAGCAATGACATATGGACTTTGAAAAAGGAAGAAATTTACAGAAGTGGGAAATCATGGAAGTGATAACACATTTACACTTTAAGCAATAGAATCATAGAATGGTTTGAGTTGGAAGGGACCTTAAAGGTCATAAATAAATCACACGTAAGAATAAAGATGAAAAACACATTTAAGGCTATTCAAGACATCATCCCTTCTCTGCTGTGCCTACAAATCTCTGTAGCAAAAGAAACTATTTCAGCCTTCAGATAGATGCACGTGCAGACAACCATAAAGGTTCTAACTTCAGTGAGATCAACATCTGTATCTCCAGTTAAAGGTGCATATAATGCAATGTGAGAGTCAGCAAGAGGCATAAAATATCCAAAATATCAATACATAAGATATGAAGTATGTTACGTAACTAATTAAGAAAACTGAAAAGATTGCTTCTCCGACTCCATTTTCATACTGTACTTCTAGTACATTCTGATGAAGGTGTGGCCTTATCTACTCCACTAAAAGCACTGAAACTCAAATTTATGCCCTATACTACTAATTATTCCTATTCTTTCTTGCCATTTGGCAGTATACCACTGCAAGGTACCATCCAAATCAATGCGCATTCTACTCTGTCTTCACTGGAAACTTGTTTTTCTTTCTCCCTCTCCCAGTAAATAATTTTATCAATACAAAACCACATCTAAATAATTAAGTTGACATTCTAGTCATAAATCTCAAAGGCAAGACTGTCATATGTACATTAGTTGATCAGAAAAGCCAGAATCTAAAAAAAGAAAATATCAATCTGAAGGTTCAATAACAAATTACATGTGGAAATTCTGTACATTCAAAGAAAAGTAGTATACAGAAATATGTCTGATCTCAGGATACTTGTCTCCTTAATGAAAACAATTTTCTATCAAGAAACTTAAGACAGGCACACCTAATAAATACTGAAGATTTTGTAACAAATCCTACATTCTCCAGCAGATTGTCAGGCACTTCCTAGCTTCCCCATCCCACCATTAAGTAGAAAGAAAAAAAGCAACCAGAAACACTAAAAACTAGCTTAACTCCACACAAGCACCAAAGGGCAACACAAAATGCTCAGTGTCATCTGTATTAGGATGTCTCCTACACTTTTTAAGGTAATAGAGAAGTAGCATTATTAATGTAAATGCTCACCCCGTAACAAAAACCCTGCAGCTGCACCAAAGTACATGTTCTAGCATAGGTGTATATTCTCAATGCTTGAAAAACAACACCTGAATAATATTCTTGAAAATAGTTTTTATTCATTTGTCTTTTGAGAATGGAAGAATAAGGAATTTGAAAAAAAAAAAAAAAAAAAAAAAAAAAATTTTAAATATAATTAGCATATGTGGCTTAAATAAGTATGACTACAAAAATCCCAGATTCTGTGGTTTTATTGGCAACATGGTTTTCCAGCATATTTAGTAATGATTCTTTATGATTCAAAAGTTCCTAGGGCTTGACAGTAGGAAAACTTCTGCTTCAGTGACGCTATAATTACACTGGTGATTAAATGCATCATGTTAAACACTTCTTGATCCCCTTCCAGTGTAGCAATTAGAGAAAAATCACTGTGCCACTACAGTACAAATGTATCTTAGCCCCTGAAGGATACCTGTCCAGTACTATCAGGGGCTATATGTTTGAGAAACCTTTAACGTAATATGAATCATGTCATTAATTACTTAAAACTACAAAGAAGCCTCCTCCCTATACGTTCAGCACATACTGTTTCATGTATTTGGCAACTTAGGATAACTACACATGTTAAATAATGCATTCATACTGTTGTAGTTAATGGTCTGTCAACATTTCCATTACAAAGCAATTTTCAAAGGTTTGTAACTCTACTGAAGAATTCACTCCGAGTTGAATCCTGGCATGTGGCAAAAGCAAAACTATAGCCCATATATGTTTACTTTTATCTAACCAGACTAGAAGGATTATTTATCATTGAAAGAAAAATGATCCGATTCTCTATTTCTCTTACACTTTTCGTCATTCGCTTACAGCACATGACACGTCACCTTGTACAGGAAGGAGGTTAATTAGACTGTATTAATAAGACCCTCAACTGTCCTTTGAAAGTTCTGTATATCCTGTACACTAGATTTTGAAGAAGCCATTTTACTTTTCTAAATCGGAAGCCACCTCATTGATTTCATACATGCTTCATATTTGATATTTATAGTTCCTCCTCCAAGGTTTTTTGGACGATTTAAACAATTATTTATATTTCTAGACTGAAGCAGCTCAATTATTCTTCAAGAATGATGTATGCCGGATTCTTCTCAAATAAAAGAGCAGAAGCAGATCATGTCAGGTGGACCTGTAGAGAACTTGGCAACCAGAAACATTTACATAGAAACAGATTAAGGAAACTAAAACCTCAAACTAAATATCCCAAAAATGCAGTCAATGTCCTATACCCATACACTCAATGATAAGAATTCTAGTTCAACTAGAAAAGTGTTAACAGTAAGTTTTTATTATTAGCAGTCATAGTACTACAGGTTTTTTTGCTTAGAAAATATGAGTATTCTGGGTTTGGGTTTTGGAGTCCTCATTTTCGCCACAAGCAATTTAAGTGTTGCCTATCATTTGAAGATTTTTGGTAAGCTGCTGAAAATGATGCTTCAGATAGTGAGTCACTTGTTCATAAGGACCTCATCATCCTGACCTCAATTTGAAATGAAATGGAGGGTAAACTTTATGCATAGTGCACTGTACAAGTGCAATGCCCTTCTGAAGGCTTTCCACACTCAAAAGATATGCTGATGCATCCCAATGAACTAGCTGTATCCTGAATTATTATTTTTATCAATGATTACACCAAAGCATCCTTTTAAAACTCTATGGTTGAAGCACCTTTTATGTTTTAAATATACAAAGACACTGAAGTGCTTTGCGGAAAATAAGGCCAGAGAAGAGCACAAATGCACAAGAATAAGAGGGGAAAATGAGGAAAATACACAGCAACAAAATAGGTTTTTTACTCTTACAAAATATATCATGGACTCTGACACAAAAGCATTGATAGTTTCAATTTAAAGCCTTCTCCAACAATTCATACAATAAAACTGCAAAGAATCTATCCAATGCATCTAAACCAGGTAAAACAGATTGTAAAAACTTAGATCAGATTCAATTGGGTTTCTAG